GAGGGAACACAAGCAGGGGGAGAGGGAGAGGGAGAAGCAGGCTTCCCACGGAGCAGGGAGCCCAGTGCAGGGCTTGATCCCAGGACCCTGGGATCATGACCCGAGCCGAAGGCAGACGTTTAATCGACTGAGCCACCCAGGTGCCCCTGGGGTAGGCCAATTTTTTTTTTTTTTTAAAGATTTTATTTATTTGACAGAGAGAGACACAGCAAGAGAGGGAACACAAGCAGGGGGAGTGGAAGAGGGAGAAGCAGGCTTCCCGCGGAGCAGGGAGCCCGATGTGGGGCTCGATCCATGGACCCTGGGATCCTGACCTGAGCCGAAGGCAGACGCTTAACAACTGAGCCACCCAGGCGCCCCAAGGCCAATTTTCTTAAAGAGAACACAACACTGTGATAGTTAATCTTATGTACCCACTTGGCCAGGCCACAATACCCAGATATTTGGTCAAACACTAGTCTAGATGTTGCTGGGAAGGTATTTTTTTTTAGATGAGAGTAACATTTAAATTAGTTGGCTTTGAGTAGAACCGTGGACCCTCCATAATGCAGGTGGGCCTCGCCTAACCAGTTGAAGGCATTCAGAGACAAGACCGGTCCCTTGAGGAAATTGTCCTCAAGGGAATCCAGCCTCTAGATGGCCTTGGGACTCGAGCTACAGGGTCAACTCTCCCTTGTGTCTCCAGCCTGCCTGAGTGGATGAGGCCATTTGCAATATATATTTCACAAAAATATAAAGTATTCCTACAAATCCATGAGAAAAATAGAACCCAATTTTTCAAAGAGCTTTTTTTTTTTAAAGATTTTATTTATTTATTTATTTGAGAGAGAGAGAGAATGAGAGAGAGCAAGCACATGAGAGGGGAGAGGGTCAGAGGGAGAAGCAGACTCCCTGCCGAGCAGGGAGCCCGATGCGGGACTCGATCCAGGGACTCCAGGATCATGACCTGAGCCGAAGGCAGTCGCTTAACCAACTGAGCCACCCAGGCGCCCATCAAAGAGCTTTTTTTAAAAAACCATTTTATTCATTTGACAGAGCACGAGCAGGGTGAGCGGCAGGCAGAGGGAGAGGGAGAAGCAGGCTTCCCGTGGAGCAGGGAGCCCGACGCCGGGCTCGATCCCACACCCTGAGATCATGACCTGAGCCGAAGGCAGACACTTAACGGACTGAACCACCCAGGCACCTGAACCCAATTTTTTAAATGGGCAAAACACTTAGGTCTTTCAAAAAAAAAAAAAAACAGGGTATGCAGTTAGCCAGTAAGTGTATGAAAGGAGGCTTGATTTCATTAGCTATCTGAGGAACACTATTAAAACCATAATGTAAGGCAAATACACCAGAGCGGTTAGAATGAACAAAGCAAGTGCTGTTCATAAGAGATGCATCTGGGACCCCAAGAGCACCACAGGTGCGGGGATGTGCCGGGAGGACTCCCGGGCTCAGCAGACGGTCGACCCCATGGCCGTGGTTTATACAGAGAGGACAGGAGGCCAAATGAGCTCAGGGCAGAGGCGTTGGGGGGCGGGGGCGGGGACACCAGGCGTGAGCTTCCAGAGTCCTCTCTGGGGGTGTCCCACAGGATGCGCTTAGCTCCCCCCAAACAATGGGACTGCGTGTGTGAGGTGTGGTCTCCAGGGGACCGGCAGAGACCCAGTGCCCGGTTCTCTGTGGGGGTCGGTCTCGCGGGCCCCTCTGCCCGGCTTGGGCCCGGGCCCCAGACTCCGGGAGGGGAGCAGGCGCTCAGCCCGAACCTCCTGTCTGCACAATTCAGGGACCCGAGCCTCCTGGAGGGCAGAAGCCCCTGGAGTATGGTTCCCAGTTGCCACTGAGGGCCCACCTTGCAAGCTGGCCTTTCCCAGGACAGCAGTCTCAGGGCGGCTGTGTTAACTCTTCTCCTGCACCAAAGGGGAAAAGTTGGCTGTATTAAGTCCTAAAAGCAAGGATTTGCATCCCCTGGGGCCCCCGATGTACAATACGAGCTGTGGACGTATGCCCAACAGCAACACATATGAATGGCCACCCACAGGCAAGTAGAGGCATGCTCAGAGCAGTGCCCTAAGCAAGGGCCAACACCAGAAACTACCCAAATGAGCCTCCGTGCAGAATGCTAGATGCTTGGGAGTCAGGGGCAGGAGGGAATCTGCAGGGGTCATGGTCGTGGTCACTCTCTCGACTGTGAGGGTAGTTTCTCAGGTTTATTACACATACGTCAGAACTCACCAAGTTGCGTAATTTAAATATGTGTCATTCCTTGTATGTCAATTATCCTTCAATAAAGCTGTTAAAATGGTTTTATTTCATGTTTCCATAATATTTGTTCCCCTCTTGTATTTGTTCTCCTGTGAATCATCTGTTCATCTCCTTTCCCATTTTTATTCTAGTATGTTTGTTCTCTATCAAGCGCTCTGTCATCTGTTGTCGGCATTTCCTTCTGGTCCATATCTTGTTTCTTAAGCCCATTCACAGTGTCTTCCACTAGGGGAGATTTTTGAAGTAGACAATGCGGTCAGATGTGTCAGGTTTTTTCCTATGGTACCCTGAAGATATCTGCTCATACATAGGTCTTGGAGCCTAGGAAGTTTTCAAAAATACATCCTTCTCCAAGCAGCCTCATTCTCTAAATAACTATGAACAAATATTGCACATCCTGAATTCTTCTATAGGAAGGTGTCACCATGTGGGCATTTACCTGGTGTGCACTTATTACAAACAATCTTTTTTTGTTGTTGTGAATTACGGAAACCAGGAAAAGACAATATAATAATGAATTGTTTAATGATAACAAATAGCCACCCCATATTTTGTGCCTACAATGAGGAAGGCAGAAATTGACATTAAGTGTTAAGAACTCATGGACATACTTAATCTCTGCAAAGCCCAGCTCAGTCTTCCAGCACCTCCAATATCTGTACCTCCTCCAGTCTTTCCTATTTTAGTGAACAACGCCATCTAATTGCTCAAACCAGAGAACTAAAAGTCACCCTGACACCTCCTACTCCTGCAACCTGCCCAGACAAACCAGTGCCACGTCCTGTCAACTCACCCTCCATCCTGGCTTCTCCATCTCCGCTGCCAGTGCCCTTACCTAAACCAGTACCAATCCTCGCCCAAATGACTCAGTCTCCCGCCTCCATTCCTGCTTCCCTACAATTCAGTCTTTACACAGACGTTAGTATCACCTTAAGAGATAAACTGGATCACAAGCCTCACCCGCTTAACACTCTTCAATGAATTGCACTGCATTCACGGTAAAACTCAAACTCTAACGTGGTCCTCATTCTGGGTCCTCAGCTTCAGGGTCTCTCAAGGTCTGCAATCAAGGTACCCACTGGGCAGCAGCCATCTGAAGGCAGGCCTGGGACAGGACCCCCTTCCAAAACCACTCATGTTGTCATTGGCAGGATTCAGTTCCTTGCAGGCTCTTGCACTGGAGGTCTTAGTCTCTTGCTGACTATTGCCTGGAGGTCATCCTCAGTTCCTTGCAGTGGGGAGCTCTCCAACATCTCAGCTTCTTTCTTCAAGGCAGGCAGAGGTTGTGCTAGGAAGACAGAAGTCATTCTTTTGTTTTTTACTCCATTAATTTAAAAAAATTTAAATTGTGGTGAGATATACATAAAATTAAACTTACCATTTTAACAACTTTAAGTGCACAGCTCTGTGGCATGAAGCACACACACACTGTCGTGCAGCCACCCCCACCCTCCGTCTCCAGAACTTTCCATCTGCCCACATGGAGACTCTGTCCCCATGAAGCACGGACTCCCACCCTCTGCCCCAGCCCTGGCTCCCACCCTCTCCTCTCTGTCCGTGTGGACGGGACTCCTCTGGGGACCTCCTGGGAGTGGGGTCCTGCGGGATGTGTCCTTCTGGGTCTGGCTCCTCTCACTGAGCATGGTGTCCTCAGTCCATCCACATTGTAGCATTCCCTGCTCTTTATTCTTAGCAGCTCTCTCCACGCCTGGCCCATAGTAGGCTGACAATAAGATTTTAGTTAACAAATGAATACAGTCTTCTTCATAACTCTGGTTGCTTTTATAGGGCATGGAACAAGCGCTTTTTTTTTTTAATGTTACCTTCTCTCTGTCAAAAAAAATCAATGATTTTCAGTCTTAATCTTAATTGACCTATTGGCAGCATTGATACAATAACCAAATGATTGTGTTAAAATACATTGTATCGGTCACGTCTCTGATCAAAATTCTGCAATTGCTCCCTATTTCCCTCCAAAGCCTTTTGTGACCTACCTCCTCTTATCTCCAAATACACTTCCCCAGGTCACTGTCCTTTGGTCACACTGACGTTCTTGTACACACCTGCCTCTCAGTCCCTTATGTGTGAAGGAGTTTGCCTCCATGTACCCACTGAGCCAACTTCTCCACCTTCATCTTTGCTCAAACATCTCTCTATGAGGCGTATTTGAGCACCTTACTTAAAATAGCAGCCCATACCCAGCATAGTCCCTTGTGGGTTCTATTATCCCAGAGCACTTCCGACATAATTCCATCACTTATTATGTGTATTGATTATTTTCTGCCTCTTGTCCTAGAATGTAAGCTCCAAAAGGGCGGGAAGGGTGATCTTTGTTTTGCTCGCAGATGTTCTTCTAGAAAAGGCCCTGATACGTAGTAGACAGGGATATTGAGCAGATGAATCTGCGTCTTAAGCTGACGGGAAGGGCATCGGCGTGGCGGACGCTCGGGGAGGAACAGTCTCCCGCAGGAAACGGTTTCCCGTCGCGGGCCAAGCCTCCATAGGAGCGGCATTCAGCACCAGGCGCCCCTGGACAGCTCTGGAAGCCAAGTCCTGTCGGAACCTTTCCTCTAAGGTCGGAGTTTCCTGCCGGAGCCACCTGCTGGCTGTACCTACCGCTCAGCAAGAGGAAACTACTTTCCCGTGCCGGTGGCGGGGGGGGGGGTCGCAGGTTGAGTGGCGGCCGCAGTAGCCAATGACACGGCGCGTTCGGCCCCGCGGCGCTCGGGGTAGCTAATGGGCAGGGGCGTGGGCGGGGCGAAGGCGGGGCGTGGGCCGCCGCGCGCGGAGCCGGGGCTGGACAGGACCGCGGCTGTGGGGTCGAGACCGCGCGGCGGTTGAGCGGCGGGCGGCGCCGGCGGGCGGGCGGGCGAGGGCCCGGTGGAGGTGCGTGCGGGCCGGGACCGGGGGCCGGGAGCCGGAGCGGGGCGGGGCGGTTCGCGGCAACGGCGGCTGGGCCGCCCGTTAGCCGAGGCCGGGCTGCGGCGCCCGCCGCTGGTTCCCCCGTTGGCGGCGAGATGTGTGCTGATTTGCTTCCGACTCCCCAGGCGGAGCGCGAGTGCTCCCTCTCGGGTGGGGCCCGCTCGGCCTCGCCCTCCTCGGGGCGCCCGGTGCAGCGCGGTGCACACAGAAGGCGCTCAATAAGTGCCCGATGGGGGAATGAATGAACGAGCCCCTGCCTCCTCGTCCCAGCCCATCAGCCCCGGTGTTGAGAGCGTGCAGGCCACCCCCTGCCGCCACTGCACAGCCTGGGCATCGGGACACCGGCAGGTGTTTCCTGGGTCCCTCCTGCGTACCCGGCCGTGCGGCGGGTGGTGCGGGGGGATCCAGCCTCAACAAGACTCCCAGTCCCCGCGGAGCTCGCAGCCTCGAGCGCATGAGCTCAGTCAATGACTCCAGGTTATGCAGTTTCCCGCACAAATGATGCCAGAACTCAATGCCGGGAAGGGGGCGGGAGAGGCCTCTGCAGCTGGTGGCATCTGCCCGGAGACCTGAGGACCTCGCTCAAGTGGGGCGTGGGCAGTGGGGACCGGGAGGGTAGGGACGGAAACACAGGGCAGGAGCAGCCAAGGGCCCTCCTACTACCGGTGGGGTTTCCAGGGTGAGATCGGCTCCACTTGGGCTCACTGAGGTCCACACGCTTTAGCTCACCTGTTGGTTTGCAGTGGTTACTGAGCCTCTGTTCTGCACCAGGCTCCTGGTAGGTACGAGGCATACAGTATAGGGCAGAGGTCTTGCAAGGGATCCTAAAGGCGGTGACCCCAAAAGACAAGACCTCATCGGGAGGTTGGGGGAAAGACGTATTCCAGGCCGAGAAAGCAACCGGTGCAAAGGCCCTGAGGCAGGCACGGGCTGGGCATACTCAAGGACCACAGAGGCCCGTGTGGGGTGAGGCAAAGCAGAGGCCGATGGTGCGGAGCCTTCTCTACAGGGTGTGGTGCTGGGTTTTACGGAAGGGCAGGGGGAAGCCAGTGGAGCAGGACCGCCCAGTAGAACGTCCTGCAACTGTGGAAAGGCTCTGTCCGTGCCGTCCAGTGCGGTCACTACTGCCAAGCACTTGACATGTGGTCAGTGTGACCGAGGAGCTGAACTTTGCCTTTTATGGAATTGTAATTAATTTAAACAGACGCACATGGTGGCTCGTGACCGCCGTATTGGACAGCACGGCCGTGGCGAATTTTCTGCAGGAGACAGTGATGTGGGCCAGGCCCGGAATGGAGCGAAGTAGGGGGGGTGATGGGCTTGGTCACTAAAGCTGCTCAATCCTCCAACAGCTGACGGGGTTGCCCCTGGCGTTCACAGTGGCTGGACGGAGGCATGAGCCCCCGGCTTCGTGGTTGGGCCCGGTAGCACGCCGTGGGAAAGGAGTGTGCGCCCACACATGGTTTGGCCCTGCGGCGACCACAGCAGCCCGGGCCGCCACCATGATGAAGCTGCTGGTGGCCAAAATCCTTTGTATGGTGGGCGTGTTCTTCTTCATGCTGCTTGGCTCCCTGCTCCCCGTGAAGATCATCGAGACGGATTTTGAGAAGGCCCATCGCTCCAAAAAGATCCTGTCACTCTGCAACACCTTTGGAGGTGGGGTCTTCCTGGCCACGTGCTTCAACGCTCTCCTGCCGGCTGTGAGGGAGAAGGTAAGGGCTCCCTGGTGGTGGCGCAGCCCGTGGCACCTTGTGGCCCCGGGTCTCTGGTGTGTTTTCAGTGATGCCACCAAGCTTGGTGGTAGCCGGGACACTACAGGAGTGACAGGAAGTGAGGTTGCTGTGTGACCGTGAGTTGGTTGCTTCTCTTCTCTGGGCCTTACCTGGTAGACAAGGGGCTCGAACTAGACCTGGGCTTGCCAGCTGGTGAGCCGCTCCATTGTTCGCTGAGCAGACCGCCCAGCAGGGTAGCTATGCTTTGCCCTGTAGCGGGTGGCGTGGGCCTCTCCTCAGCACCCGTATCAGGCAGCTACTGCTGCTTAACAAGTGATGACAGCTTAGCAGCTCAGCACAGCACGTGTTTGTCACGTCGCGGTTTCTGTGGGTCAGGGGTCTGCGCACAACTTAGCTGGGCCCTCTGCTCCAGGCCCTCATCAGGCAGCATTCCAGGTCTCCTGGGCTGTGGTCTCATCTCGGGGTTTGACGGGGACGGGTCGATTTCTAAGCTCATGTGGTGGTGAGGCAAGTTCAGTTCCTTCCCGGTTGTCAGACCAAGGGCCTTGCTTCTCGTGGCTGAGGGCTGCCCTCAGTCCCTGCCACGTGGCCCCCCCCAATAGCCACTTGCTTCATCCGGAAGTGCCTGGATTTCTGACACGCGTCTCTTGTTCCCTGCTGCCCACCTTGTGTTCCTTCATAACACGGCGTGGGAGCTCACACGGCATCCCGGGGGTAAAACCTCAGAGTCCTCTCTCAGGCCGTCTGCACCCCCAGAGCTGCTTCCAGCCCTGCCCCCCCATTTGCCACATTCTCATGCCGTCACCCCTCATCACACTCCTATCTCAGGCCGGGGCTGCTTTGATGGCCTTGCTCCTCCCCGTCGCCCTTCAGTGCCTGTGGCCCTCTCAGGGTCCTCCCCAAACCGCTCCGGGCTGTACCCCTGCCCACACCGGAGCCTTGGCGGGTCAGGTCCCTCCCCCGGCCCCCTGCCAGGCTCAGCCGGCAGCTGCTGGCTTGGTGTCCCCACAGATAGCAGCCCCGAAAGCTGTGGCCTTTGTGTGTCTGATGATCTGATCTGAGTTGGTTAGTGTTTCTTTCGGGCTGGTGTTCCCCGGGGGCGGAGGACATGCAGGCCTCCTGGAGATGCTTAGCAAATGAATGAAATGGCCCATCTGCGAAACACAGCCTTCCGCAGCAGGGGTTCCCATGCAGGTCGACTCTGTACCCAGGGGACACTGAGTGAGGGCAGGTGACTGGGTCAGGAGGTCTCACCTGGGCCAGTCCTGCCCCCAGGGACACCGGATGATGTCTGGAGACGCCTGTGGTCGTCAGGATGGGGGATGCTCCTGGCATCGGGTGGGTGGGGCTGGGGATGCTGTTGAACACCCCCCCACCTCCCTCTGGTGCCCAGGACGGCCCCCCACTGAGAATGACGCTGCCCCAATGTCAGCACTACCCCCCCAACAAGTCATGACGACCAAAATGTCTTCAGTGTGCCCTGGAGGGGCGGGGTAGCCGCGCGGCCCGCGCTTGTGTGTGTGTGTGTGTGTGTGTGTGTGTGAGCGCGCTCCCGGGCTGTCATGAAGGGGTGCTGTGAGCATAGTGTTGGGGCGCCTGGCTCAGGTAGAGCACTTGGGAATTACATGCACCTCAAGACCCAAAGCGTGAGCATCGACCAGCCGTGAGTCACTCGGGAGGAGGAGCGGTCCAGACAGCTGACGGCACGTTCTGCGGCCCCAGGCTGGACAAGCTTGGTGTGTGCACACCACCTCAGGAGTACGGGCAAACCGAGCCCAGCTCTGAGGAGCCCACCCCCACCTTGCCGGGCAGCATCCGGCCCTGGGCTGTCCCGAGCGGCAGCCCCTCGCCTTGCCTGTCTAGTCGAGTTTCAGTGAAGTAAATGAAACACGAGTCAACATGCCAGTCCTTGGCCACACCGGCCGTGTTTAAGGTCCTCGTGGGCCACGTGTGGCCGGTGGCTTCCGTATCAGACAGATAGAAAGCATTTCCGTCATCAGAAAGCGCTACTGGGTGGCGCTGGCTGGCAGGATCCCCTTGGTGGCGGGTGGGGGGGTGTGGATGTGCAGAGTCTCACGCATTCCCAGCATATTCACCCAGGAAGACCTTTGGAAACAGCCCCACCCAGCGTCCTATGGAAGCAGACCCCACACAGGCCTTCAGGGCGGCAGAGGCTGGTCCATGGCACAGTGAGGGAGAGTCTGTCCCGTGCCATTTCCCTGCTTCTGGAGAGTCCTTGGTGTTCCTTGACTTGTAGGTACATCACTGCGGTCTCTGCCTCCGTGGTCACCTGCCCGTCTCCCTGTGTGTCTCTCTGTGTCCCCTCCTTTTGTGTCTCCTAAGGACACCGTTACTGGATTAAGATCCCACCCTAAGTCAGGATGATCTGTCTCGTGTCCAGATCCTTATCTTATGTAGGATTTCCCCAGGGCTGGGGAAATAGCAAAACACCTCAGACGTTTGCTGTCTGTCCTTGTGGAGGCCAGGGGTCCAGGAGAAAGGGGCTGGCAGGCCTGGGTCCCTCTGAGGCCTCTCTCCTTGCCACCTCTTCACGTGGTGGTTCCTGTAAGGACTCCAGTCCTAGTGGGGCAGGGCCCACCCTAACAGCCTCATTTTAACTGAATCACCTCTCTGAAGACCCTTTCTCTAAGGAGGGTTAGTTTTGAAATTCTGGATGTTCAGAGACTTGAATATATGAATTTTTGGTGGGGGACACAATTCAGCCCATCACACGTTCATTATATCTGCAAAGACCTTTCTTCCGAATAAGGTCACATTCTGAGGTTCCAAGTGGACATATCTTTAGGGACCACAGTTCAGCCCACTACAGCATAATTAATATTTGGCTGATTTAGTGGATATAATGTGCTTTGCTAATTGAACAGTGATATCTCCCCCAAACCCTGTTGTGTTGGTGGCGGGAGTCCAGCCCGCTCTGAACCCCTCTCCCTCCTTCTCCTCTCTTGCACATCTTCTGCTCCAGCTCCAGAAAGTTCTGAGTCTCGGGCACATCAGCACCGACTACCCACTGGCTGAGACCATCGTGATGCTGGGCTTCTTCATGACTGTCTTCCTGGAGCAGCTCATCTTGACCTTCCGCAAGGAGAAGCCATCGTTCATCGACCTGGAGACCTTCAACGCTGGCTCGGACGCCGGCAGTGACTCGGAGTATGAGAGCCCCTTCATGGGGGGTGCACGGGGCCACACGCTCTATGCGGAGCCCCACCCCCACGCACACGGGCTGAGTGTCCAAGAGCTGTCGCACTCCAGCCCGCTGCGGCTCCTCAGCCTGGTATTTGCCCTGTCGGCGCACTCCATCTTCGAGGGCCTGGCCCTGGGCCTGCAGGAGGACGGAGAGAAGGTAGTGAGCCTGTTCGTGGGGGTGGCCATCCACGAGACGCTGGTGGCCGTGGCCCTGGGCATCAGCATGGCCAGGAGCGCCATGGCCCTGAGGGACGCGGCCAAGCTGGCCGTCACTGTCAGTGCCATGATCCCCCTGGGCATCAGCATCGGCCTGGGCATCGAGAGTGCCCAGGGGGTGCCCAGCAGCGTGGCCTCGGTGCTGCTGCAGGGCCTGGCAGGCGGCACGTTCCTCTTTGTCACCTTCTTCGAGATCCTAGCGAAGGAGCTGGAGGAGAAGAGCGACCGTCTGCTCAAAGTCCTCTTTCTGGTGCTGGGTTATGCCGTCCTGGCCGGCATGGTCTTCCTCAAGTGGTGAACCTGCCCATCGCCCGCCCACCGGATACAGGTGGTCCCCCCTCTCCCAGGCGGGGCAGCTCAGGCCCCGGGCTGCCACCTGTGCACAGAGGGGCCGCGCCCCAGATCCGACACCCTGAGCCTGGGGCACAGCGACTACTTTTAAAAATACTTCTCTTAAAATTGTTTACCAAAGCTGTGTGGCCATGTCATCCTCTGGCATTGGGATCTGATGACTCACGCAGGAGGCGGGGCCGGGCAGCCGCAGGGGGTTGGCCTGGGACCCTCCGCCCCCACACTCCTGCCTGGGGACAGGACAGGACCGTGGCTTCTCCGAGCCACCGAGCCCATCTGGAGGCCTGAGACTTATGTCCTCTGCTCCCAGCTGGCTCTGTCGCATGGAGCGTCCATCCAGCGGTCACACAGGGAAGCCCTGACTCGGGCCACCTGAGGCCTCGAGGGGGACGGGCGGGGCGCCGGGACCTCAGCGCTTCCCTCTTCTCTGCCTTCTGTGTGTCCCCCCCACCCCCCCCGCTGCCATACACTCGGTGGACCCGAGAGATGCAGAGATGTGCAGGCAGGGCTAGGGGCCGGCTGGGCCGTTGGTTCTCAGTCCCCGGGGCCGTGGGGCAGGGGACACACCTGAATCAGCCCCCGCAGATGCAGATGAAGCCCGAAGCTGCCTCAGGGTGCGTGTGGGGCTGGCACCAACCCTGGGCACCGGCTCCCTGGCAACCTTCTGTTCAACTCGCCCGTTGTCTCAGCAACCCCGATGCGGGCCTCCGGGGATAGGAGCCTGGGCCGAAAGCCTTGCCTGGGGGATTTTGCCATCAGAGGTGCTCTGGGGGAGTGCGGGCCGGTGGCCTGGGCTGGGCTTGGCTCTCGCAGCCTCAGCACGAGGGCCCAGGTGCGTGCCTTCCCAGCACCCTGATCCCCTTCCTCTGCCTCACTCCTGGCCTGCAGGGCCTCCCGAGCACGGGCCCCTTCTGCCCCGGGGCCACGTGGGCGCCCCAGGGGCTGGCCTGCTGCCACCACTCAGCCCCTCCCAGCACAGGGTGACCACCTTTGCCACCGCCCCGGCCTCCTTCAGTTTTGTTACAAGAGGCAGGGGGATCGGGGATGTGTGTCCGAGAGCCTCAGCCTCTGCTCTGCCTGCCCCTACCCTGTTGCTGCAGGACGGTCAGGCCTGATGCTAGAAACTTCTGTCGGACTTGTCCTGGGGACCCATCTCCAAACCCCATGTGGCCTCACCCTGCCCTGTGCTGGGAAAGTGGCCCCCAGGGTGTGGGGACATCATCCTTTCCATTGTGTCCTGTGCTGTCAGCCTCGGCCTGCCCCCCACTTCACTCCACCCAGGAACTGGAAGTTTCCACCCACTTGGCCTTTTCCCTGAGTGGGCGGGTCGTTGTGGAGCCACCAGGTTCTGTAGCCTCCCTTCATCTGGGCCGGGGTCGTCTCTGCTCCAGGGACCCCAGCTGCATACGCCCTGTCGCTGCCAAAAGCGCACACGCCACAGGGTCCCTACCCTCCTACCAGCCATCAGCTGACCACCCCCCTGCCCCCACTGATGTCTCCAAGGCCATGTCCCGCTCACTCTGAGCACACTTCCCGACCAGTGGGCCCAGGAAGGGCACCACCACACCAGCAAGGAGCCTCAGGTCATGGAAAGGCCCACGGGCCCCTCTGCTGGCCCCTCAGTCAGACGTCACCACCCCCCGAGTCCCCAGCGTCCTCAGATTCTCTCCATCTGCTGGGCTGTGGCCACTCCCGGCTGACCTGCTCTCCCTAGGGTCCCACCAGCCCCAGCAAGCTGCTTCCAGGCCCCCTGAGGACGCTGGGATCCCAAGAGGTTTGAGGGGGCTGTGTTGTAGACGAGGACACCTCTGGCCACCCCTTTTGTCTTCTGCGCCCAGTGGAGCAAGGGTCAGCCCTGGGACCCGCTTCCAGAAGCTGCCATGGGGGTGACTGTATCTTGGTCTTGGTCAGCTTTCCCCGCATCGGGTGAGGATTAGACCATCTCCACGCCGAGGTAGGAGGAGTGGCTGTTTTGCCCTCCGACGGAAGCCCGGAGAAACTCCTGAGGTTTCCTGGGCTCTGGTGGCTGAGTCTGGCCTAGACCAGGGTCTTCTGAGGCCTACCCGGGGCTCCATCCCCCACCAGCTTGGACACCGGGGCACCGCCACGTGGTGACAGCAGCTTTCCTGTGGATACGACTGGATCAATCACCAGCTGGCCCTGGACCAGCCCCTGCACAAAACTGGGCATCAGCCACGAAAGGCCATCTGTGTGCACCTTTGTGATCCTGAGGAGATGTTGTGTGGCCTGCTGCTTTTGGGGGTCTTCTCACTCCGTGGTTCTCAGTAGGGGGGGTCCCGCAGGGTGCGCCAGGCGGTGTCCGAGGACGTCTGTGGTGGTCACACTGGGGTGTCCCCGCTCTAATTCACAGGAAGTGACAGTGGGTTCCACGCAGAGGCCACTTTGCTCTGAGATCCCACGTGCGTGTTGGAAAGAGAGGAGGGGGGCGGGCGCCTGCTGACGGGCGGGAGGCACGGCTGCCGCAGCCTGGATGTGAGGCTGCCCAGAGAGCACACGCTGCTGTCCGTCTGACAAAACCAAACCCTCCGCGCAGAACACCAAACACCAACTCTGTCCGTACGGCCGTGGCTGGGTCAAGGCCACCCCCAGCCACCTGCTCAGCCTAGGCTTCTCCCGGCCCCCAGCAGGAGGGGTCCCGGGTGGGCAGGAGGAGGTGGGGGTGCCTTGGGCTGGGGGCACCATTCTGAGCTCTGCCAGGAGGAGAGTTACCTCGGACGGGTCTCCCCTCATCAGCCAAGGCCAGGTTTTCCTCCGCCAGGAGGTCCCTGGCCCAGGCCTCAGCCCTCCAAGGTCTGCTCCGCGTGGGGGCTCGGGGCACAGGCGAAGGCTGGATGGAGTCAACCACATTCCCCTCCTTGATCTGGAGACAAAGGGGGAAATTACGAGGCCTCGTGGATTGAATCAACCTTAATAACAGTGTGTCGGGGCTTTGTTGTCTGCTGTTTGTGTCTGGTGCAAAAGTTATTAGCGTCGGGCGGGGGGGCGGTGCGCCGCTTCCCCGCCCGTCTGCGTCTTTCCAGCCCCCAGAGGCAGGCAGGGGAGGGGGCGGCATCTCCCAGCCCCCGGTGGCATCAGACCTGCCAGGGAAAGAGGCATGCATCCCACCTGCCCCAGCCTGTGCCCACCCTTTGGGGCAAAGCCAGTGATGGGCCCATCCGACCTTCCCAGAACCTCCTGCGGGCGGGGGCATTGTTCCCTGAAGACGCTAGAGCTCTTCTCTGGGCCGCTGGGGTGCTAAAGCCGGATCGGGCTGAAGCAGGGAGAACCCATTGCGGGCCCCTGCCACCCCAAAGGCCTCTGTGGCTCCCACGGCAGGAGCAGCTGGTCTGGCTGGCTGCAGTGCTCGACGGAGGGCTGGGGCGACTGGCATGTGCCCAGCCCGGCCGGGCAGAAGCGGCTGGACAGGTGGGCGGTTCTGAGTCCCAGCTTCCCGGGTGCATGGGAGGCCTGGCCGAGGTACTGCATTTAGACCAGAGTAAACAGCCACCACAGTTGACAGGTCTCTCCGTCCAGGGACCAGCTGGGCCTCCCTGAGCACGTTCAGGCCCAGCCACTCCGGCTGACAAGCTCAGACAGGGTCTCCATCCCGGCACCATAGACATTTGGGGCTGTCTCGCCGCCCGCCGGGTGCAGGCTGCGAGCCGCATTCTGGCTGGGGGCGGGGCTGCACGATCTGCATTGCCACCCAGCCCCCAGGTGCTGCTGATGCTGCTGGTCTGGGGACACATTTGAGATCATTGCCCAACTCCGGGTCTGTCTCTCCCAGCCCTGCTGACACAGACTGTCCCGGGCACTGTGTGTGTGGGGGGGGAGGGGGGGGTGAGCCGCATTTATGGCCCCCGCCCACGTGATGCCAGGAGCACCCCAGCCGTGGCCACAAGTATCCCCCAAAAAATATCCCAGAGTCCCCCAAGGGTGAGGTCCACTGCCCTAGGATGCATGGCAGCTCGCCTAGTGAGGGGAGACAGATGACATATCAGTGTGAAATGCAGGATCAGCAATAAATGCCGTGAAAACAGAAAAAGCAAAGTGAAGGGAGAGAGATAAGGAAAATGCAAATGATTTTAGCAACGTGGTCAGGGAGGAAATCCCTGGGGGCCACACTGGAGTCCCAAGAAGATGGGGAAAGAGCTTTTCTGGTCGGGGGGGATGGAGGACAGACAGCCTGTGCAAAGGCCGTGAGTCTTTCTGCGAGTCATGGTCTTTTTTTTTCCTGACTGCTCACAGCCGCCGCGGCAGTCTGTAAAACACCCAAGCATCACAGGGCTTTATCCTGCCCGTGGCGAAGACTCTGGGACCCCCTCTCCTCAAGAGGTAATGGTAACAGCAGCAGCACCCCGTATTTTGGGAGGAGCCCCGGGCTGCCTCCATTTGGCCCAGCAGGTGGCTTCGGCAAAGAGCCTGCGTCTTTCACTCAGGGCTGGGGTCCAGCTCTGCAGAGGCTGACTGGCAGAATTCAGGCTTGGGGATGCCAGCCCATTCATTTTCCAAGGCAAACTGGGTTTGGACAAATGATTTTCTTATTTTCGAATGTTGACGCCAAACTTAAAAACAAACAAAAAACCTTGGGGACCAAACTGCATCTGCTAGAGACCATGACACTCGGTCTCTGCTTTGCCCGCATAATTGCATTAATCCTGGGAGCACAGAGAGACAGCAGAGAATGCAACCCAGCCACCTCCCCCCCTCCCCCACAGCACTGCCAGGAGTGGGGGGGGGCAGATAGGGATAAGCAAGGCCAGTATGGGCCCCCCCGCCCCCGGTCCCAGAGCTTTGGGACAGGGAGAAGTCCCACGGACTGCCAGGCCAGGTGAGGAGTTGGGACTTTGCCGGGGGACAGTGGTCCCTTGCAGTGGAGACGACTATGCAGGACAGGGACAGCCAGCCAGGGATAGCAAGAAGGCTGGGTTGTGGCTTCAGAGCCCAATGGACCCGAGTTCCAGCCCCAGCCAGCTTCTTCCCAGCACACAGCCATGCTCACAAAGGCCAGGGCTCTTCCGCCAGCCACAGGCAAGGGTCACTGCTATCCTAGTTTGGGGTGCTCCAATGGGGGCTCGGGCCCCCGTGCCCTGGGGAGAGCGCAGAGGGGACTTGGGCCTGTCCTCCCCCGGCTCACAAGGCCAAGAGCCTGGCCTGGGAGCTATAAATAGCAGCCGCAGAGTGGAGCTGCTGCCTGTGCCCACGCTCCCACGCATGAGTCAGCCTGGCCTGGGCAGGCGCCCGGAGGAGCCGGAGAGCCGGCCAGAGGCTGGAGGCCCAGCCCAAGTGCAGGCAGGTCACTCAGGAGACCAAGGCAGGCAGGCCGTCGGAATGGGAGGGAGTGGGGCTGTCGCCTCAGGGCACCTGTGTACCTAGCAGCCCCTCAAAGATGGACGTCATCTTGATCGCTCCCTGCAACCCGAAAGGTGAGACAACAGTGATCCTCATTCACAGATGGGGAAACTGAGGCTCAGAGGGGCACTTGGCTGGGACATGGCAACCCAGACCAGAAGTTACCTGACTGTCGATCAAGCTGTCTCCATCTCTGGTTGAGGGCACCCCAAGATGAGGGGCTGGGGCCAGACCGTCCTCTGAGGCGCCCCCACGGGGCCAATGACAGGACAGGGCAGGAGGGACACGTGCCCAGGGAAGAGTTGCAAGCAGCCTGCAGGGACCAGGAGGAGAGCTCAGGTGAGAAGCCGGATTTGGCAGCTGTCCCTGTCCTGCATAAGTCGTCTCCACTGCAAGGGACAACCGTCCACCGGCAAAGTCCCAACCCCTCACCTGGCCTGGCAGCCCATGGGACTTCTCCCTGCCCCAAAGCTTTGGCAGTGCCGGTGTTTCCAAGGGAGCAGGAAGCGTCCACCTCAGTCAGAGCCATAGAGATGGTGGGTCAATGAGAATCCAGACGCTGAGAGCCAGAGGGACCCATAGGCTCCAGCCGACCACCTGCTCACACACTCACGATGGGGAGCTCACCACCTCCCAAAGACTGTTCACCCTCTGATTGCTCTGACCCCAGAAAGTCCCTTCTTGTGGGACCTTAGTGTCAGCCTCCCCATCAAGGGGCATCTTACTCCAACAGGCTTTGGGGAGCTGGGGCTGTCTTATGCCCACCCCTAATCCGGTTGGTGCATCCAACAGTCCAGTCTCTTCCGAGATGAGCCTCTGCCTCCCTCCAGTCCTTCAGGAGGGAGAGAGTGATGGTATCTTGTTGCCTTAAACATGGGCGCACAGACACTTTGAACGACCAGGCACTTCCCAAAGGCAAATATCTATTCTCAGAGACAACTCCTATTTGAGGAAGATAAATATTTTCCTAACCAAAACCACAAACCCAGTCCCCCAGCCCCTCAGCCCCCTTTGTTCACCCCCACCTTCAAACGGTCCCCCAGACTTACAACTGCTCTCCCCTTGGGTGGGTTGCCCTTGGGGGCACCAACCCAGACTTAGTGCTGTCTTCACTTCTCTCCTGGCACCCCTCTCCCACCCCTGCTGAGACAAAGCCCCTAGGATGGGGGAGTGGTCTCCAGGCACACTCCCATTGCCTGGGAGCCCCCTGGGGCCACCGCTGTGCTCTCATGTATCTCTTCATCCATTGATCATGTCTTCACCCCAGCAAAGCCCCCACTCCGGTGCGGAACCCAGGCTGGCCCACGACCCCACCAACGCCCGGGCCCTGAGCTGCAGTTCCGCCAACAGGCCCTCCCCTTTGCTCCCCCGGTGACCGCGACGCTGCCCCGCTCTTGCCCAGCGCCCGGCTCCAGGGTGACCCTGGGGCGCGGGGCTCCCGAAGAGGCAGGCAGGCCCCACCCCGCCGCGCCCCCCTCCCCCGCCGCCGGCCTGGCGACTCCCCGGGGCGCCGGGCAGGGGGTCGGGGCGGCGGTGACCTTGGCGGGGCGCGGGTCCCCGGGGAGGGGCGGAGCGCGGCGCCCGGCGGGCGGGGACGGGCGGGGACGGGCGCGGGCGCGGCGGCGGCTCGGGCGGGCGGGCGGCGGGCGCGCGGGGGGCGGCGGCGCCCGAGCGGACACGAGCCGGCCAGCAAGCAGCCGCGGCGGCGCCGCAGGACGAGCGCCCAGGTAGGCGGCCGGGGCGGGGGGCCGGGCCCTGCCGCACCCCACCCGCGAGGCCCGCGGGGCCCTCTCCCCGCGCGCCCCTCCTTTGTCCTAGCCCCACCCTCGCGGCCGCGGGGCTCGGCCCTCCTGCTCCCGGCGACCCCCCCCGCCCGCGCCCGGACCCCCGCCCCAGTCCGTGGAGCCCCGGCCGCGCCGCGCTCGGCGCGCCCACCTTGGACAGCTCCCCCCGGGCGCCCTCCCGCCCCCGCGGTACTTGCCGCGCGCCCCTCCGCCAAGCCAGCCCCTCCCCCCAGGCCCGCCGCAGCCCCCTCGCTGGGTGGGTCGATCCTGCTCAGGCAGAGCCCCCTCCGTGAGGGGCCCCTCCACGAGGGTCCCTGGGCTCGTCTTCCCGCGGAGCACCCGCTCAGCCTCCTGCCCCTCAGGGCGAGCCAAGCCCCCCACCCAGGAGCCCCTCCCTTGGTCGGGCCCTTCCCCCACCACCGAGATGCTCCGCTGGCCAAGGGGAGCCCGTGGGCTGGTCCCCTGAGCGTGCCTCCCCTCCCTCAGGCCCCCCGTCATCCAACCCCTCATTAGTCAGGCAGTCCCTAGGTCAGACCCCTCCCCCATTCCGTTAAGCGGTGTTTGAGTGTGTGTGTGTGTGTGTGTGTGTGTGTGTGTGTCCGGGGCCTTCCCCTGGGTCCCAGGCCTGTTCTCCTGGCCCCCGGGAGTGTCAGGGAGGGCTACCTTCATAGGAGGAGGACGCTGGGCTGTGTAGCCAGCCAGGGCCCAATTCAAATCCTACTCCGCTCTGCCACCTTCCTGCTCTGTGACCTTGAGCCAGGGCCTCCCCGCTCTGAGCCTCGGTGTCCGCGACCCCCCACCCCCACCCCACCGGAGGTGAGGGTGGGTTTCAAACAGCACCAGGGAGGTGCCTGGCATGGACTTGGGGGTTAGTGAACAGGGGTTCCTACTCCAGGGACTCAGGCCCCAGCAGGGCCGCTCCTGGAGGACGTCCTGCTGCTGATGGACCTGGAGTCCTGCCAGGGGGTCTGCACCCAGAGCAGGGCAAGAGTGGTCTGGGTCCCCAACCAGCCATGGTGGTGCCTGGCTGCACACTCACGTGCCCCCCTCTCAGGGTGCCCACCCAGGGAAGGGCAGTGCCTGCAGAGCTGGGCGCCCCTCGCCACCCCCCACCCCCAGCTTCCTCCCGATGCTGAGGACTGCCATGCATGTCGCCAACATGCCTAGTGGTCTACGAGGAGTTAGTACTGGTAAGCACAAGTGTGCCTGGCACGGAAGTGGGGTGTGTGTCTGCTGTTACTTTGGCCGTCCTGCCTCTGGCACACCTGGTACTTTGGATCCTTCAGAACCCGCCTTCACAGCCCACTGCCAGCCAAGTGCTTTACACCCTGAGCCCTCGTGACTGAGAGTTATGATTGTCCATCTTTACCGAGGGTCCCCGGGCGCCAGGCTCCGGGCTTTATCCAGCTTCTCTAGTGCTTGTCCCAGCAACTTGTGGAGCAAGGCACTGCGACAAAACCAAGGCTCAGGGACCCCGACCGACCTGCCCCGGGTCTCCCTGCCAGCTGCACACCACCGAGCCTTATACCCCACACACTCCCGAGGGAGGTAACTTGGTCCAGGCGTAACCTTGTGTCTCCTCCCTCCCACTGTGGACCTACCACCATAGAGACTGCTGGGACGAAGAAGGGCAACGGTGTCCTGCTTTCCCTAAGTCAGGACGCAGATGCTGAAGACAGGCCTTCTGCCGTCCCACCCCCAGCCCAGGGCACCCCCCGCCCCCACTGGCAGCATTTCAGGAATTGCTGTGCTGTGTGACCTCGGGAGGCCACTGGACCTCTCTGAGTACAGGTGCTGAGAGAGAGGCTAGGAGGACGCCCTTTAGGGAGATCTGTTCCTCCAGATACAGCAGACCTTGAACCAGAGGCCATGGCAGGCCAGACTCATCTGGGGGCAGAGTGCAGGAAGTGGGCACCTTTCTCATTGGGCCCAGTTTTCGTGTTCCCACCTCTGACCTGGGATGCTCTCAGGAATCAGTGCCATGATTTGCAAATTGTGTCTCTTGGACCCTAGCATCAGGATCACACTTACGGGGTGAGAGAGGGGAGGAGCTGTGCGGTGCATGTTCCCAGGGCCGTGGCCTGGGGCCACCAGGTTTGTCCCTTCTGGGCCCAAGAGGACAGGCATGCCTAAGACGCCCCAGCACGTGGCCCCCGTGAGGTTCAAGGACCTCTGGGCTGAGGGGAGAACAGGGAGCCTGGGGTTGCTGGAGAGAGGCACCATCTCACAGAGGAGGAAACCGAGGCTCAGGGTGGCAATGCACAGCCTTGCCCAGGTCACAGAGCCAGGTCTGCTGGCTTCCAAGAGCCCATGGCCACACTGGGAAGAGGAGAAGCCAGTGCAGCCTGGGGGTGGGGTGGGACATGCAGGTGAGGAAAAGTTAGTGCCCTGCACAATGGCATCTCTGCACCCCTCCCAGCCCAGAGTCCCCTGGGAACGAGCTTGGGTCCCAGATTCTGGCAGGGCGGGGAAGCAGGCAAAGGGGGCTGGCTCTCAGCCTGCATGCAAGTCAGAGCTGCCAAGTCAGCCAAGTCAACCAGAGGGCCTTCCCAGGATGCAGGAGAGATGGCTTCTCCTCTGAGAAGCTGCCCCCCGAACCGTCGCCTCACCCCCCGGGGGCCCAGAGCTGTCCCCTCCTGCCTGCGGCCTTGTGTGCCTGACACTCCTCTCTGTACAGGGTCGGTCTGGGGTTCTAGCAGCTGGACGAGCCCTCCCGGCCCTGACCGCCAGCCACCGTGTGGAAGATGCCTGAGCAGAGCAACGACTACCGAGTGGTGGTGTTCGGGGCGGGTGGCGTGGGCAAGAGCTCGCTTGTGCTGCGCTTCGTGAAGGGCACGTTCCGGGACACCTACATCCCCACCATCGAGGACACCTACCGGCAGGTGATCAGCTGCGACAAGAGCGTGTGCACGCTGCAGATCACCGACACCACGGGCAGCCACCAGTTTCCGGCCATGCAGCGGCTGTCCATCTCCAAGGGCCACGCCTTCATCCTGGTCTACTCCATCACCAGCAAGCAGTCGCTGGAGGAGCTGGGGCCCATCTACCAGCTCATCGTGCAGATCAAGGGCAGCGTCGAGGACATCCCCGTCATGCTGGTGGGCAACAAGTGTGACGAGACGCAGCGGGAGGTGGACACCCGCGAGGCCCAGGCCGTGGCCCAGGAGTGGAAGTGCGCCTTCATGGAGACGTCGGCCAAGATGAACTACAACGTCAAGGAGCTTTTCCAGGAGCTGCTCACGCTGGAGACACGCCGGAACATGAGCCTGAACATCGACGGCAAGCGCTCCAGCAAACAGAAGAGGACAGACCGCGTCAAGGGCAAATGCATCCTCATGTGAGCCCAGAATGCCCGCCACCAGCCGGCCCATGCCTCTCCCAACTCCCCTCCTCCTCCTCCTCCAGTCCTCCACTCCTGGCCCTCCAATCCTCCCTGCCCTCCTCCCCATCTTCTTCTCTCTCCCTCTCATCTCTTCCACTTCTCTTCCTTCACCCAGCGCCTCTGTGGGGGAGACCGAGGCCCCGGTGAGCCCGCGGCAGGTCTGGGGCTCCAACCTGGCTCTGCCGCATGGCTCTGCCTCCCCGCCCCCGCCCCCCCAGGCCTGTCTGCACCCCCCAAAGCCACGTGCTGGAGGTGGCCCCCTGGATCCGCACATGAGAAATTGGGGAAGCTGCCTGTCCCCGCTGGGACCGCGGACGCCGGGTCTTCCCTGTCTCTGCCCGCCTCTGTCTCTTTCCCTTGGGTGCCCCCAGCCAGACCTGCGCGTCTCCCCCATCAGATCACTGTGACCTTGCTGGGGAGGGGGAGTGGAAATGCACATGGACCTCAGAGCTTGTTTTCCCCTTTTTGGTGTTTAACACACGCTGCCCCTGCTCCATCCCTCATGACCTCTGGCCTGTGCCCCCACCCCAGGTCCCAGATCAGTCCTCACCCCTGTCCCCACAGCCTCGGTGGGGGGGGCTTGCGGGACGGGTCTCAGGCCACCAGGCAATAACCACAGAACCTGCAGCAGCACCCCGCCAGCCTGGAATCCCACTCCTCACCCCGCCTGGGGATGAGGCCCGGGGTGCAGGCAGGGGAGGCCTGGGACTGGCCCACGGCCACAGCACAACTCAAGGGGACCGTCCGGCATGAACATGGGGGGCCTTCCCAGACGCGGCCTGCACAGATTGGCACAGCCTGTCACCACCGAGCTTCAGGCAGGGGCACCTGGGGTGCTGGGGAGAGGGCTCCCGGGGCCCCATCCGGGGGCAGGCAGCTGGACCCAGCACCAGCAGGATCTGAGGGGAATCAAGGCAGAGATCTGCCCGGCCCACTGCCTCCCGCCAACTGTGCCCCAGAGAGGGGGGCTCTGCCCAGGAAGGTGTGTGTCCGTGAGGTTCTGAGTGCTTTCTGAGAGTGTTCAGATAACTGCACTCATGGGACCCTGCGGGGCTGTCTGACAAGCACGAAGGGGAGCTGTAGGCCTGGGGTGGGGAGGTGACCGCGGGATGGTGTATTTGTGCAGACGGCCTGTGTCTAAGCATGTGTTAGTGTGTGCACGCGCACGTGTGTGTGTGTGTCATTCGGATGGAAGTCTGTGTCACGGTCTCTGTGTCGTAACGGGGTTGGCGGTACGTGGGGGTGGGCAGGGTGGTTGTCGATAGGACTGGCTATTTGTGTTCGACGGGAACCTCTGTACCAGCATGAGGGGTGACTGTAAGTGGTCGTATTTTGGGGAGTGGGTGACGTGATTTATAGGACCACACCTGTGAACCTGTTTGTTCTGTCTGAGGAACGCTAAGCCCGTTTGACTTTGTAGTGAGGTGGCTCTCGGCTCAAACTCTGTATCCGCCCACGGTTGGCACCTGACAAATGACCACAAAGCAGCCACCGGAAGCTGGACGCGTTGGTCATCTCCGTCCCTGGGGGTCAGGAGCCCGGGCATGGCTTACCCGAGACTTCCACTCGGGATCCCTCGAGGCAGCGATCGCAGCGCGGGCTGGCTGCCGTCTCATCGGAAGGCCTGACCGGGGACCGACCGGCCCCCACGCTCACGCGGCTGTCAGCGGCATTCGGTTTTCTGCAGCTACAGGCCCGAGGGGCTCCGTTGCTCCCCGGACGGCAGCGAGCGGCCCCAGGGGCTCCTCGCCCCGTGCGTGTCTCCCTGGGCCGCTCGCAGTGTTGGGCGTCCTGGGCGTGACGGAGCTGCGTGTGCGTGCTTGCATGTCCGTATGTGCATCGGGACTGGCCTGTGTGTGTGCGGGCGCGTGGGAGAAAGGCCGTGTCGGGTCGTGTGACCACGTGGGGACTGTGTGTAGGTTACGAGGGACGGTTTGTGTCCATCCTGGTAGCCGTGTGTTTGGTCCTGTCTGTGTTCGTGTGACTCCACAAACGTTTCCTGGGCACACTGTGTGGGGAGGGAGTGTGTGTGTGCCAGAGTGTGTCACCACCTGGCACATGGACGGGCCCACGGAAACGCTGGTAGCATCCTGCCCGAGCACAGCTGAGCCCCTTCATCCTGTGGCGGGTCCGGGGCCCACCAGCCACTGGTGTTGCTCCCTTCCCTACCCCAGGAGCCATTTCCTGGGCCTTGCTGGGCAGGGGTCTGCAGCCCTTTCTCAGGGACACACCCTGATAGCACAATTTCCCTGGGGCCCCACCCACTTCCAGGCCTATCCCCACCCCAGGCCATGGTCCCCTGGGTGGGGGAAAGGGGTTCTGCAGCAGGAGGGGCCTGAGGCTGCCCCAGCTGCTGGCCCACCCTGCCTGGGCATCCCTGGTTCTGGGGACCATGCCAGGCCATGCTTGCTGTGATTTCACCCCTTCCCCTTCTCCCCCCGCATGTGGGTGCCCCCTGCCCCCCGTTGTGGGGTCTGTGTAGCATTTGCTCTAGAAATAGTCTTCCTGCAATAAAGAAGTGGATCCTGCATCCCCCATCAGTGCCCTTTCTTTGGGGTCAGGGAGGGCAGCCCACCACCTGCAAAAGATAAACATGAAGGATAGGGAGGTGAGGGTTTGGGGGTGAGGGATGGGGGTGAGGAGTGGGGAGAAGGTGAGGGATGGGGTGAGGGATGGGGAGGAGGTGAGGGATGGATGTGGGGGATGGAGGAGGGGAGGGATGGGGGTGAGGGATGGAGGCGGGGGATAGGGAGGAGGTGAGGGATGGGGTGAGGGGTGGAGGAAGTGAGGGATGGGGAGAAAGAAAGGTGCTATGGGAAGAGGTTGAACGTTTGTGACAGTTCAGCACTCCTCCAGGTGGCCCCCCCACAAGAGACTTCACGGGCCCTGCTGGAGCCCAATTACTGCAGCCAGATGCGGGGAATAAGCAGGTGCTCTGACCCTCCTTTTACATGGGGTGGAACCCATAGGGCCTCAGCTTCCCTATCTGCTAAATGTTGGCTTGGGGCAGAGTTTGCGAACTTAAAAGCAGGGGTAGGAGGAGGGTGAGGAGAGTGAGGCACTCACCAGGAGCATAAAACTTAAGTGGGGGACACCAAATCTCAGCCATCAAGACACATATTTTAAAGCAATACTTAGTGCAAAGGAAACCATGGTGAAAAAAAATACCTACATATGTGTGTATATATATATATATATATTTAAAGATTTTATTTATTTATTTGAGAGAGAGAGAGAGATCACAGAAGGAATGGCAGAGGGAGAGGGAGAAGCAGACTCTCCACTGGGCAGGGAGCCCAGTGCGGAACCGGATCCCAGGACCCCGGGATCATGACCTGAGCCAAAGGCAGACATTTAACCTACTGAGCCACCCAGGCGCCCCAAAATACCAGTATTTTAAGTCGAGACAGGATCTGACGGGGCCTGGGAGAAGCGAGGGCGATGGTTGGCACAAGGGCAGCATCAGATCTTGTCTTTCTGTCACATTTTGGTATTTTGTTCATCCTGGATTATTTCTGCATTTCTTTTGCATATTTTAAATATCGCATTAACATAGTATTTATCTTGATAGCAAGGTTTTCTGGTTTTGTCTTGTTTTGTTTTGTTTTTTATTGGTGCCCCTTTAGGTTTGGGATTTGAGAAAAGTGCCTTTCTTGCCTCACCATAGTTCTGGTCCTGCTCTGTCTTTGGGGCTACACGATGATGTCCTTGGGTGAAGTATGCTCAGCCACTTCACCCAACCAGCCCAGGAATGACCAGACCTTCTGATTTTTTAAGAGGGCCTAGAAATCTAGATTCTTTTTTTGTGAAATGTCCTTATTTTTAAATGTTAGCAATGAACTTACACTTTTAAAGGATTTGGGGGGCCACATCCCACCTGGGGACCACCAGTTTGTGACCCTTGTTTAAGTAACAATTCCTTTGTGGAGATGTGGGCTGGGCAGTGAGATGCTGGCCCCCAGGCTCCTGGTTCTCTCTCTGTGCACTGCAGGAGATGAGTGGGGAGGTTCTTGCAGGGATGACAGGAGCCCTGGGGGGGCTCAGCTGGGAGGCCAGAGGTTCAGATCACAGAATATCAGTATATTGCACAAAGTTCTAGGAGTCCCGGAATCTGGTGGCTCCATCTTCCCATGTAAGAAATTCTCCTGTTGATGTTTTGGAGACACACCATACATTTTCCAACATCACCAGGGGAGCTTATTAAAAATACACATTCCAGGGGTCCAGTGCCCACAGGATTCTGGATCATTCAATCTGGTGGGGGCCAAGGAACCTGCTTTTTCATTTTTCAAAATTATTATTATTATTATTATTAAAGGTTTTATTTATTTATTTGAGAGAGAGAGAGCATGAGATGGGGGAGGGTCAGAGGGAGAAGCAGACTCCCTGCTGAGCAGGGAGCCCCATGTGGGACTCGATCCCGGGACTCCAGGATCACGACCTGAGCTGAAGGCAGTCGCTTAACCAGCTGAGCCACCCAGGGGCCCCTCAAAATTATTTTTTAAAGATTTTATTTATTCCTTTGAGAGAGAGAGAGCACGAGCAGAGAGAAGTGGCAGAGAGAGAGAGAGAGAGAGAGAGAGAAGCAGACTCCCCGGTGAGCAGGGAGCTCGATGTGGGGCTCGACCCCAGGACCCTGGGATCATGACCTCAGCCGAAGGCAGATGCTTAACCATCTGAGCCACCCAGGGGCCCCTAAACCTGCTTTTTAAAATCCAGGGCCAGGAGTTAGGAAATTGAGAAACCCTAGAAATTATGAGACAGGCTTGGGCAAATGACCTAGGGTTTCACCTCTCTGAGACTCAGTTACCACCTCTGTAAAATGGGGACAATGTAATTTCATCTCTTAGCCTTATGCAGAAGGTTCAAAATAAGGGGGCAGTTATTATTGCCCCGCAGGTCAAATGATCTATGAGGGAGGGATATACTTCTCCTGCAAGTGAGGCCCAGGAGCTAGGCTTTTAGATTCGAATTCGCGAAGGGCCTTGCACCCCATTGACGTCACCAAGTCACCTCTGGAAATCCGCTCGCCGCGGGCGGCGGGGTGCACCCTAGCGGGCCTATTTGCATATCAGCGTAGCCCCGCCTCCCCACGCGCTCCCCGCTCGCGGGTGGCCGGCGGCGGTGCCACTCAGCGCTCCGCCTCCTGGCCCCGCCCGCGCCGCGAGCCCCGCCCCCTCGCCTGGCGCAGCCTACCCCGCTGCCTGCCCCATGCCCCGCCCCGGCCGGGGCCTCCGGCCGCCGGGGCTCCCGATTGGCCGCTCTGGCTGCCAGTGCCCGTCCCCCGCGCTCCGGCCCCGCCCCGCGGAGGGAGCGGGCGCTCGCCGGCTAGGCGGCGGGTTCGGCTGCGCGGCGGGGCTCAGGCGGCCGCGGCGGCCGGAGCGCAGGTAAGGGCGCGTGCAGCAGTGGGCCGGGCCGGGGTCCGCCGCCCCCACTTCGGGCCCGGGGGGCAGGGGCGCGGCCCGGGCGGAGGGCAGGCCGGGGCGGCCCGGGGAAGGCGCCCTGGGAGGGCTCCGATTTGGCTGCGGACCGAGTTGGGGGTCGGAGTCAGAGAGGAAGGGGCTGGGTCCCGGGATCCGGGCGGGAGTTGGGAGTCGCGATCAGTGAGGAAGGGGCTGGGGCCGGGTGGTCCCCCGGAGTTGGGGGTCGCGGTCAGTGAGGAAGGGGCTGGGCCCGCGGTCCGGTCCAGAGTTGGGGGTCGCGGTCAGTGAGGAAGGGGCTGGGGCCGCGGGTCCGGTCCAGAGTTGGGGGTCGCGGTCAGTGAGGAAGGGGCTGGGGCCGCGGGTCCGGTCCAGAGTTGGGGGTCGCGGTCAGTGAGGAAGGGGCTGGGGCCGCGGGTCCGGTCCAGAGTTGGGGGTCGCGGTCAGTGAGGAAGGGGCTAGGGCCGGGGGTCTGGTCCAGAGTTGGGGGGTCGCGGACAGTGAGGAAGGGGCTGGGGCCGCGGGTCCGGGAGGCAGATGGGGTTCGTGGTCAGTGAGGAAGGGCCTAGGGCCGGGGGGCCGTCCAGAGTTGGGGGTCACGGTCAATGAGGAAGGGGCTGTGGCCGGGGGTCCCCGGGCGTTGGGGGTCGCGGTTAATGAGGAAAGGGATGGGGCGGGGGGGGGGAGCCCCCGGAGTTGCGGGTCGTGGTCAGTGAGGAAGGGGCTGGGGCCGGGTCTGGTCTAGAGCTGGGGGTCGCGGTCAGTGAGGAAGGGGCCAGGGCCTGGGATCCCGACTGGAGTTGGGGGTCGAAGTCAGTGAAGAAGGGCCTGGGGCTGTAGTTGAGGGTCGGGGCTCAAACTGGGGTGGAGGTCGGCAGGGGAAGGGTGGGGCTTGAGTTGGGGGTTGACGGGGAGAGGGAATTGTGCTTGAGTTGAAGGTGGAGGTAATTTGAGGAGGGGCTGGGAGTGGAGTTGAAAGTGGAGGTTAGCTGGGGAGGGGGCTGCATTGGGAGTTGGGGGTTGCAGGCAGGAGGGAGGAGACAGAGGAGTGCAGCCAGGGGTGGAGCTGGGGACCGAGGGAGGAGTGATTGAGGAGTCTCCCGGGAGGGCGAGTAGAGAAAGGGGGCACAGTGAGGGGAGGGCCAGGCCACTTTCAGCAGGGGTCTAAGGGCCCTGGGGACCCAGTGATGGCAGGCTGTGAAACCTGGTGCTGGTGTGTTTGGGGGGAGGACGACTAGTCAGGAGGAAATGGGGGGTCTTGGTTAGAAGTCAGTTACAAGGATTGTGGAGGCCACTCGCCCCCTACTTTTGGAGGGCTAATCATTTGGTGTACGAGGAGGGTAGGCAGAAACCCCTGGGTGACCGTGAGCTGGAGGAGAGATGGGAGTCCAATCCACTTTGGGAAGTCAGCTTCTAGGATGTAGGGTATAAGCAGAAAGGTTTCGTGGCGGTGACTGAATTTTTCAGGAATTTTTGGGCTCAGGAATGAGGAACCAAGGTGGGAGTTTTGGGGACGATGGTATTGAGGGATGTGGGTGGCACTTTGTTTTTCCTGGGGAGCGGGGGTTGCTAGGGGCTGGAAGGTGGGCGGGAGAAGACAGGCGTGATGAACAGCAGCTCAGAGGCTTCGATTGTTGCTAGGTGTCCGGGATGCAGCGACGCCAAGTTCACAAACTTGTTCAGTCGGATGCTGAGGTCTTGCGGAAATGGGCTCTGGATGGCGGGCCTGTGTTCCACCCTGGGTTCCAGCTGCTGGCGGGGCCGCGGGGCCTCTGGGAGTTTACTTTGCTTCTCCATGAAATAGGAATAAGAAAGCTGTAGCAGGCACCTCACAGGACTGCTGGGGGGTCAGATGAGGGAATGCACGCACCTAGCACGCCCCTGGCACATGGCGAGGGGACGTGAGACGTTGATAATAATGTTCTAAATTAAGGGTTTTTTTTGGGAGGGGGGAAGGTGGGTGGGTAGAATTACTGGGTTGTCACAGAGGGGAGGGGAGCGGAGGGAAGGAATCAGCTGGAGCTTGACTCCAGTCCTTTAGCTTTGGGGTGGCACATGAGATCACCCCTGGAGCTTTAAAAAAGAATCTCTGGGCGGGGGAAAAAGTCCG